TTAGAGAAGGAAGTGGCCCTCAAATTGACTCACCCTTTTGTGGGCCACGCAAGGGCAACGCAGGGGTAGAATTTAGAGAAGGATGTTGCTTTTTCAACTTGACTCACCCCTTTGTGTGGGCAATGCAGGGGTAAATTCTAGACAAGGAAGTGGTCATTCCAACTTGACGCACCCTTTTGTGGGCCACGCAGAGGTAGAATTTAGAGAAAGATGTAGCCGTTTCAACTTGACTCACCCCCGTGTGGGAAATGCCATGTCAAAACATGTATAATGTCTGGTGGGAATCCTAGGATCGTGGTAGGACGTCTGTTCTTCAATGCATGACCTTTTTGGGGCCCTTGTCATAGGGTATTCGGAAAGGTCTCACTTGGCAAAAATATGATGATGATGATGATGATGATCTTTCAGGACAGTCTAAGTACCTCCAAACGCTTTGGGTTCTACTCAGGGAATGAAATCTCTGAAATTCAAAACGCTGGTGGCCCAGTCAGTCCTAGCTGGTTGAGTCCGTGGGTTTTTTGCCACTTGCAGGTCTCCACTAGAGACTGAGAAGGGTTATGTGACCGGACCGGGGGACCAGGTCGAACCGAGCCGGAGACCGGGCCGGGGACCGGTGATTGGGCCGGTGACCGGGCCGGGCCGGTGACCAGACCGGTGACCGGGCCGGAGACCGGGCCGGAGCTGGGGCCGGGACCGGGCCGGGCCGGTGACCGGAGACCGGACCGGTGACGGGCCGGTGACCGGTGACCGCGCCGGTGACCGGGCCGGTGACCGGTGACCGGGCCGGTGACCGGAGACCGGGCCGGAGACCGGGCCGGTGACCGGGCCGGTGACCGGAGACCGGGCCGGAGACCGGGCCGGTGACCGGAGAACGGACCGGTGACCGGGCCGGTGACCGGGCCGGTGACCGGTGACCGGGCCGGTGACCGGACCGGTGACCGGAAAACCAAAAAAGTATATTATGGCTGCTAGGGAGGTGGTCATACATTTGCAAATGCATTTGCAACTTTTGCAGCTGCAGTTGTATGTATGCGACAACAGGCATGCTAGAAGTACATCTGCAGCTTGCAGGTATGGTTGTGTAGAGCTGCTGCTACGCTGGCATTGCTTTGGTGCTGGGATCTTGCTTTGGTGAGTTGCTTTGGTGGTGGGATCTTGCTTGAACAATTTTTGTTGGGATGTTGCTTAAGTAAAGTCATATTATGCAAAGTCAAGTATAACTTTTGCTGGGGTCTTGCTTAAGTAAAGTCATATGCGAAAAGTGCGAAAACAAGTATAACTTTTGCTGGGGTCTTGCTTCAATAAACACATATGCACAAACAAGTTTAACCTTCGCAGAAGTAAAGCAAATGTTACAATACATATATATATATATATGTACATATACAGGCTGGCCGGGCAGGGCTTGCGAAACGTGACCCTCAGCGGAGACGGTGAAATGCAAAACCTGCGGGTGGCTGGAGGCACCAGATCATACGTGTCGAGTGCTCAAAGCGAAATGCGAATTCGGCTATGCTGTGCGTGTTGAGTACTCAAGCGTGTGGTGAAATGTGAATTCCATCAAATTCCGGGTGTGCCGGATGAACCCTCTGCGGAGATCGTGCGTGTCGAGCTCTCAAACATGTGGTGAAATGCGAATTCCGGCTGTTCTGCATTGACCCTCTGCGGAGATAGTGCGCGTCGAGTGCTCAAGTGCGTGGTGGATGAACCTTCTGCGGAAATGATGCGTGTCGAGTGCTCATTTGTGTGGTGAAACGCAAACTTTGCATTACTGCGGCAAACCCTCTGCGGAGATCGTGCGTGTCGAGTGACATTTGGTTGTCGAAGTGTATAACTGTCGTCGAAATTGACGGTGGTAGTTGCCAAAATTTGACACTGTTGTCGCAAATGGCGCCGGAAGCTGGAAGTTGGTAAAGTATGTAAAGTGTGTAGCTGTCGGCGAAAAGGGGGTGGAGGTTATACCAAAGTGTGCAACTTTAGGTTGCCAAAGCACGCCAATTGTCGCCAAAAACGAAGGTGGAGGTTGCCAAAGTGTGTAACTGTTGGTGAAACGGGAACTTGTTAGTGCAAATATAGCGCAGGAAGCTGTGGCCTCAGAACTGGCCACTTGGTAGTGCAGATGTAGTGCGGGAAGTATACCTTCTAGCTATGTGGCCCGGGAACTGGTCACTTGGCGGCGCTCAGCGTGATTAATGTTGCGTTGTTGTATTTAGTCTGTTGCGCACTGCGCGGCCACGAGCGAAGACCGAGTCAGAAAGCAGACGCGCGAGTCAGACAAACGCGAGTCAGAAAGCAGAAAGGCGCGAGTCAGAAAAGCAGAAAGGCGCGAGTCAGACAGCAACCTCAAAAAGCGCAAGCCGCAACAAGCCTAAAAAGTGCATCCGGGACGGAGTGAGCCGACGAGGTCCCAAACGCACCGCAACGAGCCCAAAAAGAACATCCGGGACAGCGCGAGTCGACGAGGTCCCAAACGCACCGCAACGAGCCCAACAAGCGCATCCGGGACGGATAGCGCATCCAACGAGCCCGGGCGTCCGCTGTCCGTTCCGCCAGCCAGCCAGCGCTCAGCTGCCGGCCGACTCAGCCCCCCGCCGGCCGACACACCGACCTTACTTTGCTAAGTTAGCGGTGTCTTCCCAAGCGCCCGCTGTCCATGCCGCCCGCCGGCCGACTCAGCACCCCGCCAGCCGACGCGCCGACCTTACTCTGCCAAGTTAGCGGTGTTCTCCCAGGCGCCTGCTCAGCGTTGGCCGGCCAACTCAGTACACGGCCGGCCGACTCGGCATAAAGCGCCGGCTGACTCGGCGCCTGGCTGACACGGCAACCCGCCGGCCGACTCACTCTGTGATGTCGATGTGCCATCATGCCGTTTTGCACGGGCACGGTGGAACCTGCTTTTGCGTGAGTCAGTGCCATTGGGAGGAGGAAAGCTTGCTGGCGTAAATTCAGCGTGGCGCTGGGGAGAGGGATGATTGGCGGCGCCCCCGATGATTATTGATAATTGATGTATGTAGTCGGTGTTCCGTCTGTGATGTCGCTCTGCCATGCGCTTTTGCACGGCTGTGGTGGAAAGTGCGTTTGCGTGAGTTTGTGCCATTGGGCGAAGGAGGACACGCTAGTGTAAATTCGGCGTATCGCTGGTTGTTACTACTACCTTGCTGGCTGTTCCTACTACTGCTTCTACTGCTACTACTACTACTACTACTACTACCACTATACTACCACTACTACGACCACGACGACGACGACGACTACTACTACTACTACTCCTCCGACTACTTCTACCACTATACTACCACCACTACTACTACCACTACTACTACTACTATTATTATTATTATTATTGTTATTTGCGCCACTACTACTACTACCACCACCACCACCACTACTACAACAACAACAACAACCACAACGACTACTACTACTACTACTACTACTCCTGCTGCTGCTGCTGTTGTTGCTGCTGCTGCTACGACTACGACTATGACTACGACTATGTCCACGACGTCCACTACGTCCACTACGTCCACTACGTCTACTACGTCTACTACGTCGACTGCGTCTACTACGTCGACTACGTCTACTACGTCTACTACGTCTACTACGTCTACTACGTCTACTACG